GTTACTTCAAAATAAGTTTCATGATCATTTTTCAGCATTAAGATGATTGAAAATTAATTTAAACCTAGGCACTATAATTCAAAATAAATACAATTACATACCTACACTTAAAGTACATGACAGTAAAAAAAATTATATTAATAAAAAAAATCTATTAAAAAAACATAAGTTTGTTAAAAAACTTTTTCTTGTAAGCTATGCCTATAATAATATAAAAAATTGACTGTGAAAATGTATAATATGTATATAAATCAAAGCTTAAATAATGTCTTTCAAGTATATTTAATTTTATTTTTCCCTCCGGTATACCTATGTTTTAGCCTATGCAAATTTTGATTGGATTTTTTTTTTACATCACTACTATACTGAAAACAATAAGAATCAATTCTAAAACAAAAGTTATTTTAATCGTTTTTTAAACAAAACAAAAAAAAAAAAAATTATTACACAAAGTTCTTCTCTTTTTGTAATCAAAAATTGGGTTTTAAAATATTATATCATATATAGCTAGGTTACGTTTGAGTGATTTTTAACATACATATTTGGACGTTATAAGAACAAAATAAAAATCTTCTAAGGTAACAACTGTTCAGATAGACAAATGGCACAAATATAATGAAACATACGTACGTTTTACAGAGTATAAATAATAATAAATATTATTGTTAAAATCGAGGACACAAATCAAAACATCCCGAGTATGTATGTGGTACAATAGGTACTGAATCTGTGCGTAGACCTGTATAATGCGTAATATTGTATATTTACTGAATTTAGGTTTTGAAATTTGGTTAAAAATAAAGTATACGAATTAAAATAATGTTAAATTATTAATATAGTAAAACACATATAAAATAACGTACCTTTGGGAGTTTAGATAAATAATTTATTAGTATCTAGGTACCTACATTTTTGTTATCTCTTTAACTTATTCGAATATAATAAAACGATTCGCTATTTGGACAGACGATAGTTTATAATTATAATATTTTAAATTTGTTTACACAAATATTGTTATTAATCACCGCCGAGACGTTGACCGGCATCGATAGCGGTTGTTGTCAATCGATAAAAATCTATTATCAGATGCTAAAATAATATTTTTATATGATATTATGATACAAAACAGTCAATACACAAAATATAATAAATTTTATGTACTTAACATCCATCCGTGGATCATATGCATACGCAACCTTAAATTTTTAAAAACAAGTTATGTCGCGTGTTTCTATAAAATTAAGTAAGCGACGTCATCTTGTTAAATGTGCACGTCCACTTCGAATAATAACTGTTTAGTGTTTTGTTTGTAATTTTTCGAATTAAATAGTGAAATTCTGATTAAATAATTTGTCATAGCATGTATTAGGCTCAATATCTAATATTACGACAAATCTAACCTATTTAAAATACAATTTTCAACAAACACGGAGTTTAAATTATTTTTGTTGTCCTCAGATTCTTATTCAATTGGTCAAAAAACGCATCTCTTGTTTTCTTTTTACATTTAAATACCTACTCTTTTTATCTCTTTTATAGCAACTTACAGTTTCAGTTCTCTCATATGTCCAACTTAATCTCTGAGTGGCAACAATAAAAGTCTGCTTTCGAGTTTTTTGATCTTTCTACGTATTACTTACGGTTCTTCCTTGGAGACCGGAGTTGTTGAAATATTGACATACTGCAGTCGATCTTCCTCAAGAATGATTCATTAATGAATTTCATTCTTGAACCCAATGGAATCGAATAACTTTAAAACAAATTTGAAAAAGATTTTCAAAAAATTTTGAATTTTTTTTTTTTTTGACTTAGAAGTTCTACTGTAAAAAATTTGTTATCTTGACTGCGCCAAATCTGTAGTGTTCCGTTTATAAGCAACCTTACATGGATAAACAATGTGTGCTTGCGTTTAAATAATTTAAGTCTCAAATTATTTCAAAATGTATTGTTATTGGAAATGTTATCAAATGTTTTTTAGTTTAAAAAAAAACACAATTCTGATCAAGACTGGCGTGAAGGTGCTCGCTCTAACGCTGATAAATAGTGTCTGGGGAAATGCTTATCTTGGACTCTTCTATATAGTCCTTTTCCCATTATTTTTGGTCATAATTGGTTATAAACTTTAATACGGTACGGCACCGTGACAGGTGTGGAGGTAGAAAGGAAAAGGTCGTACCTCGGGGACAGATGCTAAAACAAGTGGCACAAATGCATAAGAGGGGTGCACAGAGCACACGACTAAGGACGCGTAGCACACACACTTCACGTGGGCAAACGCACGTACAGACATTATAACTGCTCTGTTGGGTGTACCATAATATTTACTACTTCATATAGCATTAGTTGGTTTCATGCTTAATGAAGCTGCTAATTTAAACAAACAAGAAAATTTAGTAAATATTAATCATGTTTTTAAGAAAACGTACCTGCACGATGAATTGTCTCCGTATTACTAACATTTAACATACCAAACAGTACGTCCATCAGTTTCAATTTTGAAATGTTACCTTTAATTATTATAGTATGTATCGACCTATTATCAAAATCGAAGTCAAGAACATTATATGTATTCTCTCGTTGATTTTTTACGATATTTTAATTTATAAATTAATTATGAGCATTTTACATTATTAATATTTTCATACTTGAATGAAAATTAAACAAGAAAACAATTACCGCGAGATGATCTTATCTTTAAGTTTGATAATAAGTTACTTCACTCTAATATTTAAATTAAATACACAAAATTGAAACTACTGAACGTATATTTAGGTATAGTATGAATTAGTAACTGCAACTACATAATATTATGCAGATACATCACCTTCATGATGTACAATATATCAATAATAAAAAATTGTGTAGGTAAGTCAATCCATTGGTTTTTTTGTTTAGTTTAAAAAAAAGTGTTATAAAAACTAACAAAAAATGAATTATATTTTTTTATTCAACAAATAGTTGTTAAGTGAAGTTTATTTAATTAAGCTTTAGTTATTTTTCATACTTAATGATCTAAAAAAATCTCAAAGATGGACATTAACTAGGTCTATTATATTAATCTATATTTTATGAAAGCGACCCAGAGTACTTATGCATTCTGGCTTCCAGCCTAGTACTATAACCTAATTTCTGTATCTGCACTATGCTTGATTGCATATTGAATTTCAATTCAGGTTTTTTATGAATTGATTGGCTGTCACCATTTTCAATTCCTCCTGTAGTCGTCAGCTGAACTCCAATGCCACTCGTCTGTCCTTGCATACATAACCGAGCCACATATTTATAATTTGTTTAAGTGTTGTGATATTAAATTTTTAAGCTTTATTAAATTATTAAAAAAAAAAAAAAAAATAAAAAAAATAATATTACTTATTTAATAATTTAGCTTAAATAAGAATGTAATATTTTGTTATTATTAAAAAAAGTTTTATGTTTCACGACTGTACTAAATGTGTGATTGGTTATGATTGAAATATAAAATTAACTAATTTTAACTTAAAAGAGATAAATAAGTATATTGTTTGCTAACTATTAATTTATAATTTGATAACATAAACCTAACCTAAACTGATAAGAAATTTTTTTACATTAACTTACTCACTTTTGAAAAATCAATTATTCTTATTAAAAATAAATATTAATATTATAAATTTAGTTAACCATAGACAAGAAAAACAAATACCAACAAAAATGCTGGAACATCAAATAAAAATTATAAAAAAAAAATGTAAAAATTAGGTATGCAATGCAGAAAAATTAAAAATTAAGTTGAGAGATAATTTTTAAATATTATTTTAGGCAAAGAGAATGGTTTTTTACTTTCTAAAACATTTGTATGATAGGATTAAAATGTTTACTTGCAGAAAAATTAAAATAACCTCAATTTAATTATTAAAAAAGAAACCATTACTCTTTGTAACGAAGCTGGAAACAGCGCTATAGAATCTTAAAGATTCGATAGATATTACTGCAAAATGTTATTGTATACTCTTGTTGTTTAGCTAACCAGCTTTTTTCTTCAAAGTGCAATTGCAGTTTATTGTGCAAAAATAAATTGAATGATATCCAAATAATGATAGTTAAGTATTAAACTTTACTAAAATTATAATAATAAATACATTTTGCATTTATAATTGATTATTTTTAACTAGTAATTTATCATATATTATTTTTTGATAAAATACCTTATCAGTTTTAAAACTCTATTAATTTTTTATTGGCTACATGGTTTTTTGTCAATAATAACAAATAAAAAATAATTGTTTTTAAATTAATTTTTGTGAAATTGTGTACTTCAGTTTAGCATTCACTAAAATGATTAATTAATAACATCAATACTTAGAAAAAAAATAGCCAAGAGGTAAAATAGCGTAGCCATTTTAAATAATGACTGAATATTATTGAAGTAACTTTGCATTAAAGAACATTAGGTATATAACATCATTATTTTAACACAATTTTGTTGCTGACTTCTTTTACTAATTGAAAATTTAAAAATATATGGAACAGATTATTTTCCATAGTTAAAAAGTGTTATATTTAATAAAAAAAAATTATTCAAATATACATTAAAAAAGAAAAAAAATTAGTGTACTATAAAAAAATATATACAGACAAATAATTTTACTAAACTCTAGCATAAAAAAAATAATTTCTATTTTTTTTGTTGATCTTGTCATTGAAGATAATTTTCTTAATAAAAACAATCAGTTTCATGATTATAAATAAAATATAACAAATTCAAGATATTTTTTAGTAAACTGATGCACTTATTACTTTTTTTTCAATGACATACTTGATTAAATCCTTTTTTAATTATTTTTAATAATATTTAAATATTATTGACAGTAACTAATATATTTAAAAAAAACTTAAATCTAATATCCTTATATTAAAACTTCAAAAACACATGAAACTATTTTCCATGATTAAATAAATGTTAAATCTATTTAAAATATATAAAAATACATTATAAAGTGAAAAAAAAAATGAGAGAACTGTATAGAAATATTAAACAAAATAATAAAATAGAAACAAATAATTCAACTCCAATTTAAAAATATTGTATCCTGCCACTGACAATCAATTTCTTGAATGTTGGATAAATTCAAGATATTTTTCATTTGAAGATGATTTACTTATTCTTTTTCCAATATTACATTTGTTAAGATGATTTGTGAGAACGCAAATGATTTGATAATGATACTAGTGATTGAAACACTTTACCACATGTCTTACATGAATAATCGTTTGCATTCTCTGCAGGTTTTGTACATTTTTGGCTTTTCTTCTTACGGCATGTCATCAGGTGAGATTTAAAGTTATAAATTCTTACATCCGACTTACAAAATGCACATTTAATAGTATTATTATTTTTTTTCCCAGCTATTAAATGACCATTGTGAAAAGTATATTTATGTATACTAATACATTGCATATTATCAAATCTCAGTTGGCACATAGGGCATTTGAACATACCAGGGGTAGCACAGACAAATCTTACTTGATGAAGTCTAAGACCATTCAAATCATCAAATGGCTTACAACATTGCCAACATACCAATCTATCCCCAATTCCAAAGTGCTCACGATAATGTTCTTTAAAAACTGAAAATGATTGGAAGACGAGATTGCAAGAAGGTTTTAAACAGGTAAAAAGTATCATTTTTGATGTACGTACACTGTTCTTCTTAGTTCTTTGATTACGTTCTACCAACACATTTGTATTCAAAGTTTCTTCTGCAACTGGTAATAATTCTGTTGTATTTTCAGTAGGTATTCTTAATCTCAAACTTACCGTAGTTACATTGTTTGCCTGATTTTCAAGACATTGCTTAGTATGATCAATAATATCAGTAAGCTCTGGAGATGATTCTTCACAGTATAAACATAAATAATTATTAGAAGAGTCCATCAATCGACCATTATGTTTTTTCAACTTATGATAGGCGAATTCTTTCATGTTAGTAAATTTAACATTGCATGTATAACATTTAAATGCATTTACAGCACAACGGTGATAAAAACTAGTGGCGCTAGAAGAGCTAGGCTCGTTTATCTCATGATAACAATGGATGCACATATTTGCTGAAGGAGACATACCAATATGTAGTTGATAATGTGGTAAAAAATCATCTTTTGATCTTGATAGAATATTGCAATTAGGAACTAAACAAGTAGAAAAATTTATATTGTATTGAGAACAATCATGATTGAGAATATTCTTCTTTTGACAGATGGAACAGTAGTATAATTTTTCATTTTTATTATTTATGTTTTCAGTCGTTTCAACCTGATTTCTTGCTTCTGAGCCACCATATGAAGTACCAGCAGATTCTTGATAGTTTCTATTGTAATGATTAATATTATTATCAACAGATTCGTCATCTGATGAAATTACATGGTATTCATGTTTAATATTATTATCAACAATTTCATCGTCAGATACATAAATGCATTCTTCCTTAATACCATTGTTTTCATCGTCATCGGACAATATTTCAATAATATCAATTGAAGGTTTTACTTCAATGCAATCATCAGAATCATCAACATATACTGATTTTGAACAACTAGCAACAGGTGAACGACTAGAATCTTCTCGTTTACAGTAACCAGTACTACTACTAGTACTACACTCATTAAAATTGTTTTTAATTTTATTAGGTTGTTTTATATCACGCGATTTCTGCGATGAGTTAGATGCCTTAGATGTTCCAGGGTTAAAATTGTTTTCAATTTTATTAGGTTGTTTTATACCACGCGATTTCTGCGATGAGTTAGATGCCTTAGATGTTCCAGGGTTAAAATTGTTTTCAATTTTATTAGGTTGTTTTATATCACGCGATTTCTGCGATGAGTTAGATGCCTTAGATGTTCCAGGGTTATTAACACCAAACTAAAAACAAAAATATAAAAATTTGTTAAAATTACAAAAATGTGCTCATTTAAATTTTTTTTTTTATTTTTTTGTAGACGAATATTAATGTAAATAACTACAATGTTCCACATAAGTATTTCTTACTGAAATTTTAAAATATAAAAAGCACAATTTATTCTTATAGATATTTTAAATTCAAATCAATATATTTAAATGTGTGTATTATTTACAGAAATTAATAAGAAAATTTCAATTATATAGCAAGCTACAATTTTATTTTTTCAAAAACTAAATTTTCCAAAAACATATTTAAAATAATTTTTCTTTTATTTTTTATCTTTGGTTTCAGCCACTCAAGCCTATATCACAAGTAAACATACTTTTATATCTATCATCATCTTACGTTAATTTCTGTCAATGATTATTTGGTTCTACTATTCGACCATTTTTTTAAAACACAATCATTCCATTTTAACCATGTCTCTCAAGAGATCTTTTTACTGGGTTTTCCTCAATTACTCAAGTTAGTTAATTTTTAAAATGATCAAGATAGCACTTTTTTTATCATATTTTTAAGAAGTTAAAAATAAAATAATATAAAATAGATATTGAATGAAAATTGACCAAATTAAAGTAAATTAAGTTTTTGATTTCATAAAAATAATATTTATGTGATCAAAATACAAATTGCACGCTTTAATAAATGTTTATTTTAATGTAGATATTTTTTAAAAGTAGATTTATTTTATCTCCAAATAATGGATCACAGCCTTTTCTGTGCAGTGCTCAATCATAAAATTGTAAATAATGACTTTCTTTGTTACACGTATAAAACTAGAACAAATTTGATTTTCTATTGTTTTATTTAATTTAACATTTTTTTTTGTTTTTTTGTAACGTTCCATGTAAAGATATTTTGCTTACTCCAGCCTCCAAACATGAGAATTATTTTGAGAGAGATACATTTTGGTCAAATTTAATTCAATTTTAATACTTTTTTTTTTTTAAGAATTGTTTAAAAATATGATCAAAAAAATATTGAAAATTTAAAAAACTAAATTATATAAAAATAATTTTTTTTAATTTTTAAAAATAAATTCAAACAATTTATAGAATTTTTTTCGCAACTAAACAAAGGTATTTAAATATATTAGTTTATCACAGAGACCTAATTTAGAGTGATATGGCCTGCAAATATTTATAAAATATATTAAGATGCCCTCTACTCAATACTATTTATCATATACAATGATTTATATTAAATTATAATTTAAATAAATTTAATAAATGTTATTTTAATAAGCTTTTAAGAATTTACAAAATATTGTACAATAATTTTTAATATGAATATAAAATAATATTTTAGATTTTAGAACATTTAAAAGAAATAAATTGGTGTTAGTTTTTTTTTTACCCAACCTTTCAAGTTTCAATATTTGGAATAAAATATGAAACACCAATTATTAACAAGAAGTGTAAATATTTATCAGTCAAAAGAAATCTTTTTTTAAATATTTTAAGTAATCTAAGTAAGAAGATATTTATTCACAAATATAATTAGTACCAAATTATTTAAACAAACACATTGATAATTCTTTTAATTTTGAAAAATCATTAGAAATAAAAATGTATTAAATTTGAACTATGATTTCTTTATATGAATCTTATTAGTAATTATCAGTTTTAAAATCAATACGTTCAAGAAAGAAAAATAATATACTTATTTTATTTATTAAAGTGAATAAAAAAACTGCAAAGTATAAATGATTTAAATTTTTTAGTGAGTTATGAGTATGAAAAATTTAAATATTTGTTGTTAATTAATGCTCATAAGTCATAACTCACTTAAAAATTAAAATATTGTAAAAAAACAACGAAAGAATACAGATCAATAAAAATCTGATAATAGGTTAATTCACTCTAATATCAAAACTAAAACCACACTATTGAAACTGGTGAATGAAAATTTATCAAGTTGTACATGTGTAAGACAGAGACAACACATATGGGTGCTACGTCTTCATAAAAATAACTTCTTACTTTTTACTTAATTTGCAATAACTCGTAAATTAATTAATTTTATTGTCAAGTTAAGTTTTTTACCCAATATAAGATCTGTGGATTTAAAATATACCTATCTTGTTTTATATATTTTTTTTCTTATACATAAAAAAATAATAATTGGTAACAAGTATCAAGTATTATTTATAAATGATAATATTATATGTTCTAAATTCAAATAAATATTTAAAATATATGTATGATGTAAATTGTAAATAAATAACCATGACATATATTTTTTGCTGATAACTAAAGAATAAATGCAGAAAATCTAAGTCAATGATCATGTTATATTACTTTTAATATTTGCATGATATGCCTATTGTTCTTAACTAATATGATAAAGCAAAATTATAGAATAATTAAACATTTAATTATCAATATTAATCAATTAGTATTTATTATTTAATATTATGTGTAATTTATTATATTCTAATAATAAATTTGATTATAATTTTAAAAAAATTAAGAAAGTTTAACGATCATTTCGAAAAAAGTTATAAAAAAATGGTGAAATAATACATTAACAAACTTAATTTAACTATTTTGTTAAATTTCATCATTTATTTTAAATAATATAATATTAAAATATTAATAATTATTAATTATTTAATTTTATTTTTAAAGTAACTAATTTTCAATTTAATCGAATTACTGTTTTTTACTAATTAAATATTAAAAGTGAAAAATAAGAATAATACCTTTATACTTCAGTTACATTATATATTATTATTTATTGACCTAATTTAAAAAAATTAAAAATTAACTTATTCAGCAATGAAAAATTTTATCAATTAAGAAACCTGTTTAAAAAATTTAAATAAAATGTTTTAGACGCATGGTGTGTTATAATTATGTACATAGCATACTTACATTCAGTGATAAATAAGTAAGTTTATATTGTTATCTCTAAAACTTAAATAATTAAATGCATTTAATGATGATATTAAATGTAGTAGCAAGCAACCCAAGTAGAATTACATTAATATAATTTAGATTGCAAGCAATCCAAATAACTTCATAATAAAAGACATTACTTAGGTCACCAACAGGCATGTAGCAGTCAAGATTATAATTAATAGTTGCTTTAACGATAAAGAGCACAACAACAATATATCTTGAACAATAATTACATATTAATTTAATATTCTCTTAAATACAATTGTTGTTTTAATTTTACACACTTATTTGCTTTAAAATCAAAAATAAAAATGCTTTAATCAAACTATAGAAAGTATTACCTTTATAGATAAATTCACTGTAATATTAAAACTAGTGATGGGCACTATTGAACAGTTTACACTATTGAATAGATAATATTTGGAATGTTTATAACATAACCAATTAGTAGTTTTTTTTAATAAAAACTATGAAATAATCTTGTTAATTATCAAATAGTTTGATGGACTATTCGAATAGCATTATCAAATAATTCGGTGGACTATTCAAGTCGCACAATCGAATAGTTTAATTTTTTCAGACTATTTCAATATTTCAATTTTTAAGAAGACCATTGGTGCATAAATGGAGGTTACAGGTGGTGCTTAGCACCCTCCTCCTGCTTATTTTGAGCTAAAAATACCTAATGTGTAAAGTATAACTTTTCGTTAATAAAAATGAGTTTATTGAGCTTGTATTGATAATTCAGTAATGCCACAAGCAAACATACTTCATATACAAATGCATAGTATTGGGTATTTGTGTTTGTGATTTTAGTATGTTTCCTGTTTTATATTTATAAAGCATTAGAATTTTGAAAACAGGACCTAAACATCATAAATTATCAACTCTTCAATACTCGGTTTATAATTTTTTTTTACAATTTATTTTTTAGATAATTAAATGTTAAATATATATATATATCCTACAACACAATTTTATCAACAAAAAAGATCTTTTAACTGTGATGTTTTTCGATATTTAAATTGAAAAATTTGAATTAAAAAATGTATGACTATTAAGCCATGACTGTTTTAAAAACATAATTTTGTGTTGGTCTATAGAAAATTTGAAAATAGAAGTTGTAGAAAAATCTGATATAATTCCTTCCATACCCATAGATAAATAATAAAATAAATCAGTTTAATTTTACTAACAATAAACTATATTAGCCATTAGGTATATCGATTAATGAGTATGATAATAATTAACAAATTAACAAGTTGTAACTAATAACTATTTTTTAATAGTTTACTAGAATAATATTTAAATTTAAAATAATCAAAGTACGAATGAACAAAAATAATTCGATAAACTATTTAAATCAAATCGATTAAAGTATTCGAATAGTTTTCTTATTTAAATTATGAAATGACTATTAAACAGTTCGAATAACGAACTACTATTGAATAGTTCAATAGTAACTATTTGATAGTGTCCATCACTAATTAAAATTATTAATTAACACAACTAAATTAAAATCATTGGGCCTAAACTTACTATATTATTCACTTGTATGATAAACAACACATGATAATGTAATATCCACTTAAATGAATAAACAAAAGTTAAATACATATATACAGTAAGTCCTCGTTTAACGTAGAGGTTAGATTCATATAAAACATGACGTTAATCGAAACACTTTTTAAATATACTTTATTAAAACGGGTTCCTACCAATAAATAACAATGTACATATTTTAATATTTATTTGTATTAAAATTGCGCGACTTAACTGTTTGTGTTAAACTATATTAAAGATTAGTGAAAACTTATAATCAGATGTAAGCAGTATTTACAATTTATTCCTTAAAAATGAAAAAAGATTACAGAGTACACATTATCTAAAATAAATTTATACAGTATCCATGTATGGTAGATATGCCAATTAAAACGAAAACAATATTATCTATAATAAGGTCAATGAAATTAAAATTTTTATTGTAATGGCTTATATAAAACATAATATATAAATAAATACATAAAACAAAAATTTGATCAATATAATATGTATTACAGATGACATTATACTGAAATCGTTGCAGTGTTAAACAAAACACAATGACTTAAAACTTCTACGATGCAATAGGGAAACAACGCTAAATGAGGCAACGTTAAATGAGGACTTACAGTATTATAGAATATAGAGTTAAACAAATACATACCTACGAAACACCTATATATGTTTTTATAATGTAACAATGCTTACTAACATACATAGGCATATGCTAACATTAATTAATAAAAACACACCATAGTATGTTGAAGCATTTTAAAAATAAATATAAAACAAAAAAAGAAATTAGGCATAAATAATAACACTTACTTTTTTTGAAGCAATGTAATTAATAACAATATCAGATTCGGACGCTTTCTTCTTCATTTCATACCAAGCAAACAAAGATTTATAGCAGTTATTGCATATCATTTTAGGTTTGACATCATTAGACCCAACCTAAGGAAAATTTAAAATTTAAATTAAATTAAAGGAAAAAATCTAGTTTAGTAGCCACGCGAATTTTCACTTTTTTTTAAACCTATTGTAATTAAGTATGCTAAAAACGATGGTAAAGTCAGAATTTTGCGGACGGACTAAGTTTCAAAGTTATGGCTATTTGAATTTAGTTAATATGTATGTGTTATGTTAATAGCTTAATATGCTACTCAATAGTGTAATGCATATTCGTAGTCTTATGGTATTGAGGGCCATGTAATGGGTGACAAGTCCCCCTGGGTTCGACCTCGGTGAGCGCTAATAACATTTTTAGTTGTTTTTATGATAACTGATACAAGTAATAAGACCTACTTAAGGTTTTTTCGATTTTTTTTTTGAAAAAATATAACTGTTGACTTGCTATGCAAAACCATCTCAAGTAGATCACAGGATAATTACTAGTATTATACCCATAGCACCGAGAGAGCGCGAGTCGGCGGCGACCAAAACTCGTCGTAATTTGCGCATCTCCCACTGTTGGATAATCGGCTCACATCGTCGACCGTCGTCGTTAATCGTTAATTTAATTAAACCAGTCAACTTGGTGGGAGAAATTAGACCTCGAAACTGCGGAGCGACTTCATTTGGATGCATCGCTAACTTGCGCTTTCAGCGCTACGGGTATAGTTATCATAAAAACTATTATAAAAACTGTAAAAATTTTATTAGTGCTCATCGAGGTCGAACCCGTGGTGCATTACATAGCCCTCAGTACCATTAGACTACAAGTATACATTACACTATTGAATAACATATTAAGCTATTAACATAACACATATATATTAACCAAATTCAAATAACTATAACTCTGAAACTAAGTCCGTCCACAAAATTCTGACTTCACCATTGTTTTCTGCATACTTAACTGGTTTCAAAAAAAAAAAAAGTGAAAAATTTGCATGGCCACTACATTAGATTTAAGCCAAATTAAATTTTTCTCATGTAATTTATTTATTTTTTATCATATCAGCAATGTACGTACCTTGATTCCTAAAAGTTCTTCTAACTGTGGCTTCAATTTGAAATCTTCGTTGACAGTCGTAAAAATATGAACAAACTCGATACTTCTGTCGGCTTCTGGCTCTGCTAGACAAATCCGGCAAAGATCGAAATTTTCACTGTGCAAATGCATTTGACTCATGGTAGATGATTCTTCAAACAATCTTGTACCAAAAAAATTAAAACATGCAAATGTCAGCACTCAGAGACCAAACTCTATGAACGCCAGCTACTAAAGTAGTTGGCAAAATCGATGAGCTTGTAAAAGATGGTTATGAGACGCGTTTTATTGATTCAAGACAAAATTCAATTTGGACCAAACAGCAACAACAACAGCACACAGCAGCAACAACAGCAAACAGCAGCAACAACAGCAAACAGCAGCAACAACAGCAAACAGCAACAACAGCAAACAGCAACAACAGCAAACAGCAACAACAGCAACAGTAAAAACGGCAGCAGCAGTAGTAAACAGTAAAAAGACACCAAAACAACGTACAAGTCTACAGAAAAACGTGTTTGGCGGCAAATGGCAATGAAATGAACACTGTAGCGTCTGTAGTCTGTAGCGTCTGCAGCTAAGCGTCAGTTACGAATGAAGGGCCAATGAGAAACGTCGATTATGAGTCGCACAACAACGTCATGGTTTGTTCCAAGCAAACAACAACATAACCTATAACTTTATTTTTTTTTGAAAAAAGTGCTCAGTTCCTTCCGACCAGTTGTTACCCAAACTCGGTAAATCGCTATACAATTCGTATTAAGCGTATCACCTTGTCAGTGGAACAACTGAACCAAACCCACTACCGTTAATAAACCGTTATTAAGTACACAATTCACGTGGTTTTTATATAATATTATATGCCTTGACTCTTACAGTGTCAGCGTATCGTAATTTACCGCTGCGGCACTGCAAAATCAAAACACATTTTATATATACAAAACAATATAAAAAAAAAAAAAATTTATAAAAATGTATATAATATGATTATTATCATTATTGATAACTGATAAGTAATAATTGTACTATTTGTACTGACTACTGTTGTCTGTTGACTGTTTTACAGTTTACAATTAATTACTAATTAGTGTTTTTATAATTTGTAGGTACATTGAAAATCGATGTTGGAAATATAAATATATGATTGACAGACGATAATTTTTACACATAAATCATAGACCATAGTCATAATTTGTATTCTTTTCAAAAACATCCGATTCGAATCTGCTTCGATTTTTAACGTTCCAAGTGTTGTATTCTTATACATACGATACAATTATTCTGATATGTCCGATCCCCGGCACCGTCCACTGCTTAAACTTGTCTGAGCTCAGATAGAAAATCGGTCATATTTTTGATTGGATAAAGCTCGTAGTGTATTCGAATCTGATACGTGTGAATACATCCATTTAAAAACAAGAAGTTCATATTTCTGAGTAAAAAGAAGGCTTAACGAAACAGACTTGAATAGAATGTGTGTGAAAGAACCTTAAATTGAATCATGTGTGGTTTTCGACGTTTTTGTATGCTCGACTTGACAACAAAATGCATTGCCTGTATTATATACAAGAAATATTCAAATATATATTCCTTACTTTATAAATATTATAAGTGTGTACCTAATATGTGCTTATTTAATCGTGTGTATTAATATAATGTTATAAGTTCAGTTAATCCTCGTTTAAATTTGTATTATGTATTTTTTTATTGTTTCTTAACTATCAGTTAAATCAATTTAGTCAATATTTTACTGAACATAATCACAAATCAAAGTTTAAATTTAATAATTGAATGTTATAAGGTAATAAATGTATATGATTGGTTTAGAGTTATAAGTTTATTTAAAAAAAAAATCATAATGCCTCGTTATGTAAATATAGAATAAATATTATTAAAAAGGTTACTACTAAATTTCAATGACGATTAAAAATAAAATTATTTTAATTAAAGTTGGTTGTTGGTTCTTAATTAATAGCTACTAACTACATTTAAATTTGTATTATTAATTAATAATCAGTAATGTATAATCTATTAATAATCTAATTTAAGTTAACATCAAATAAAATAAATTCAAATATTATTATATAAAAACTTACTTAGAAATTATTCAATTAATTAAATGTTTACAAATAGGTTTTGCAATTAAATTTATGGGTTAACTCACACCCAGTTTATGCCTTGTAACAATTAGAGTTTAGTAATCATTTTGGAACTCTTGATGTATACATTAAATCAGGCATTATTAACCAAAATCTTATAACTAAAAAAATTAATATGTTTAATATAATTACATTAAGTCAATTTCTATTTAGTAATAAAACAATTGCAACTCAGTTGCACAACATTTTAAAATAGCACTTGGAAGAATACTAAACCACTGTTTTTCGTTATAAATAGTCTTATTTTCTATCGTATTGATTAATTTAATAAAAGATACAAATTTGTATTTTCTTAACTCATCTTATTTAGATCAATTAGATCCTACTAATAAATGTCAAATATAAACTTTTTTATGGATTTAACATTTAATTACACATTTTCCGGTAAATGGAAGTAGTTTTTAAGATATAAAGTAAATTTAATACATGTTAAAATCTATTTTCAATAAAAAATTAATTAAATATTTAATTTTAATGCATAAAAATTAAAAATCTAATACAAAATTCCTCAACTTGAACTTACAGGAATTGGAAAACAGATAGTGAAACAAGTTATAAACATTATAAAACTAGATAATTTTGTTAATTTTAAAATGATTATAATTTCTTTTCATATTAAAATATGAAAATAAATCTATATGATTTCTCAAATAATAATCTTATCTTTAAATTTTATAACAGGCAAATTTACACTACTTTTAAAAATAATTATAAAATAAATTAATATGAATGTAACACTTGTATATTTGTAAAATAAAGACATGCAGGTTGATGTCCAGTAAAATTATTACTGTTACTATTCATTATTTTGTTATAATTTTCACAATTATTAGCATATAATGATATTTGGTATTCATATTCAAATAATTATTTAAATTTTTTAAACATGATAACTACATAATATTTTATAAAATGAAAAATGGATGAGTAATGACTATTAAAATATGTTTGAAGACGTTACAAGACTGAAATTCACTGTATAATTATATGTAATAGGTACCTAATAACAAAATTATATAGTTACTGCTTATTTACATTAGATACTTAATAATATTTAAGCACTTTAAATGAGTAATTTTTAAATTCACTTTCTATCAATTGTATCCATTTGCATACATTTTATAGTTTTTATTTAACTTAATATATTATCTTTAATAGTATTATATTTGAATAATATGATCAAATTGAGTGTGTTTAACATAATAACACAAGTGTGTAACATTACACAGTACATGAAATGCTTGTCCAAAATAATTTTTTTGTACATATAAATACTTTTTTATCATGTTATATTAAAACGTACATCATTCCATGTATAAGTTTAAAGCTTTACTAGGTGCACATAAAAAGAAACTAGTTTGAATGTATTAATATATATTTAATAATGTATAATTATATAGGTACTTAGTTGTAAAAATAAACTAAGTATAATTTATAATATTAAATATTAATTAATAGTATCTAAAAATTAGAATGAAATACATCTTTGTAATGAAAAATAAATTGAATATCACGCAAACATTAATGTAGAAACATATAAAATAAAAATGTCAGTCGTTGTTGGTCATAATAGCTTCAGATACCCGAACCCAGTCAAATGCTGACAGCAATGGGTCTTCACGCGTCGGAATGCGGTCCCAATTCCAGTACATCAACTCCTGAGTTACTTCCCCTGTAACTGACTTTACTGTAGCTGTAGAATCATCAACTGTACTATGAGTGGCATCGCTATCCTCGCCGACGCACAATACACCAACATATCCATCAGGCATACTGAGTTTGACGCCTGTCAGTGGCTTACCACGCAATGATGCATGCCACAATGCGTCTTCATCATCCATTGCGGCTTTGTACGGATTAAAATATCGGTCGACCGGCGCTGTCAATGTCTGGCGGTCACCATCTGATTTGGTAGTGTGAATCTTGCACGGCAACAGGTGTACTGCCTGTTGATCACTGCCAACGGCACTAACATCACTGTCTTCTGCTACTCGCTTGTGTTCTGATCGATTGATGATGAGACGCATCGCATGTAGACTCGGAACAGATGAAGAAAATAGTAAATTTAATATAACGACTAAACAAGTCGGTTACAACTTACAGTTATTTTGTTACTGTTGGCCGTTACAAAATACTAAATCGTTCGTTTTTCGTCGATTGGGTTTATATGATATTATTATGATAACGATAGCGGTCGGATGTGATAACTGGATCCGGTGAACTGTGGAGGTACTAACAATCGCTGCCTCCGCGAACGGCGCGTGTCACTTTGTTAGCACTTGGATTTTTATTGCTGATGAAAACGGTAATGGAGAATTACGAATTACAGCTCACATCTGTCGAAGGCCGATGAGTTGTGGTCTCCTAACGGTATAATTACGTACCGCGTCATTACTGTGGTTCAGTCAAGGCGTCTGCTGGAGCGATGACCAACTACAGTCAGTAACCACCGTTCCGATACCACGACGTCGACGTCTACATCCGCGCATATCGCTATCATGTGAGTACCGACTAGTATCGATACATTCGATAGTACAAAACAAACTACAAACGTCGCGTTGTCTAAATAATGTGCGTGCAATGTGCATTGAGAGCGCGGCGACCGAATTTTAAACTTTTTAAAAGTAAAAGTTCCGTCGCCGCGCCGTCCGGTATTATTTCATTATTTTTCAACGACAAAATTATGTTTTCGATATTTTTCCCAACTTTGTTGCACGAGACGTGACGCACTCATTATTATTGTTATCGAAAAGCCTACAGTAGTTATTAACAGCACGTACATAGGCATGTGTTTCGTACCAACGATTAATGTATGTTGGTCATTTTTCTTTATAGCCATCAAGTAAAGGAATTCCACAGCCACCGCAGTAACGACCAGTGATTTTGCTAAGAAAACGCGATAGAATGGCATACTATTACTATTACCAAAGTAAGATACATCTAACAACATAACAGTTAACATTATTGTTATCATTGACAAATTATATGATATTTGTTATATGTACAACCATAAAATTATTCAAATTAAATTTCATATTTAGTGTGTTTGTAATATGGAGTTTTAGAGAAAATAAATTTTGTTTAATGAATTTATAATATACTATAACATAAACATAATTTACATTATTTATATTTCATTGCTATGATAATCAACAAGTATTGGGAATAGACATTTTAACAGCTATACTTACACAGTACACAGGTTATACAGCGATATTTATTAGTAATATTTTAGCCAATTGACAATAATAATATTTGATGAATTTAAAAATTTTTAATACTTGAGTCTATTCTTAAAAGTTCCTTATACCAAATATCATATAATAAATCTAAATGACAATAATTTAAATAAAGAATGAAATAAAATTATGTATTATGTTATTAACAATTGCTAGTACATAAAAGTATAAAATACAAAATGTGTCAATTTCTCATTTGTAATAATTTCTATGTATTTTTGGTTACAGCACCACCCGATCCACTATCACCTGTACCAACCACAGAAGAATTATCAACATCTCAGCCCTCTTTATTAATGCTATCATCTCCATCACAACAACAGCAAATTAATTTACCACTTCTCACACCAATTCTTCCATCAGTTACAACATCAATGTCAATGATGACAACGACTACTACTACTTCCACAGAGCATTATGAACAGCAACAACTACCTACGCCAAATACATTCATTAGGCATTGTGATGACATGGGTTTATTTCATGATTTACAAAACATTGTAGTAATGTCTTCGTTAACTGGACCAACAAATGATACAACTATTAGTACAGCCCCTACGTCTACTGCTGCTACAGTAATAACTACAGCAGCATCAACAGGGCAACCTAATTCTTCAAATTTATTTGACTCGTCGTCAACAGCAATTGTGACAACTATGATGATGGCTAATCCATTTGATGAGACATTTAAACAAGCAGTATTGCAACAACAAAAGAATGAAATTAATCTGTCAGAAAATCTTTTCAACCATAATAATAGCAATGATGGTGATTTAAACACCCCATTCATACCAACAACCACTGCTGTTAACACTTCCAATAACAATACTAGTAAGTGTTAAACTTAGGTAATAATAAATTGATATAAAATATTTCTTATAATTTTTGAAATAACTAAAGATTTTTTTAGCAATTTATATATTTTGTGTTTAAATAAAAACTATCTATCTACCTTGGAAAATTTTTGTTGATTAATTTTAATTGTAAGAAAAAATTCGGATTATTTTGATTTACATTGTCAAATAAATAGAAAAAACTTTTACCATATTTACTTTATTTGTATCTGCTATTTATAACACTTCCATGTGTACATGAGAAATTGGTTTATTTAAGTTTTAAAATAATTTTATTTCAGCTGTAAAAACTTCAACGTCATTAGATATGATTTCTACAACTACAGCAGCAATTGAATCTAATAAGATGAATGCAACTACTGTACCTCAATCTCAAGCAGAACCTCAGCAAAATGTGTATATCACATCAACGGCAGAAGTAGATTGACTTTATATCCTTGTACTAGTTTCATATATATAATTGGTTTTATTTTTGTTTAATAGGCACCAACTAGAAGTGTCTTAGTTATGATGGTGGAGAATCCACAACAACAATCACATAACTCAACTCTCTCTATACAACCTGAACATCAACAACACCAACAAATAATCGATCAGCATAAGTTCATTGTTCCAACTACTACAACTACGACTAGTGATATTGATACAGAAACTATAACAAGCCATGATCAAGATTTTTATGAAGAAGAAGTTGATGTTGAAAATGGTCATGTAATCATTAACGTTGGTAATGATTCAAATACAATTAAACAGGTTAGTATTTAACAATCATTTATTTCTCCTTAACTACTTCTACTATTTTATGAACCAACTTTTTGTAAATAATTTTTATGATTAATAATATCACCTTTATTCATTTTTATGTTTATGGGCAATATTAGGCTTTAAAACAGAATTTATTGGTAAAGCAACTGTTACAAAGACGTCAGAAGTCTCCTCTAATTACTGAAAACTGTGATAAACTTGGTCAACTACTGCAACAGCAGAACAACGACATCGGTATTGTTACAAATACTGATAGATTAGAACATGAAAACTATAATAGTAATGACCAAGAAGACGAAAACTGCAATAGTCGAAAGCAGCAGCTAAAACAGAAACGAAAACAAGAAATGTTAGAAAGGAACAGGTACTTATAATAGAATACTCATACCACCATTTACAATTATTTTTTATCAAAAAATGCCAAATTTTTATGCACTTATAACTATTATATATATATAAGTAAATAATATATGCTCATTAAAATTAAAATTTGAAGAAAAAAATCTAAAATATTACTATAAAAATAAAACCTGACTAAATACATATTATTCTTTATAGTTATAACTAATTTTGTTAAATGATACTTTAATTTCAATAATATTGTCATGATAAGGTTAATAAGTACAAAGAGAAGCTTGAATTAGTATTGTTCATATATAAGGCATAGAAAAAGGTTTTATTAGTTTTAAGGTAGAGAGTTAATCCAACTGTTTTTAACAAGTTAAAGATAGATGAAATGCATTTAAATTGAGAATATGAATTAACTTTAAAATATGTAGTTCATAGTTTTAATTATTTAATTATAGTTTTAAAGTAATGATTTATGAAAACTCGTTGAATGCATGCATATTGTGAAAAACAGTGTTTGGCAACCTATAGGTTATGACCAAAAATTAAGTTTCAAAATATGTATGACAAGATTTTGTTCATAAATTAATAATAAGAAAAATAAAAGTATAATTTAAATTTAGAAATAATTGTTTTATTTGACAGTATTAAGTATTCATTATTTGGCATTGCATTATATTAAAATTAAATGATAAAAATTATGATTATTATTATGACTATATTATGGTATATTTGATTTTTTTTTTTGTTTCTGGTAGTGAGTCACCTACCCAAAAGAGTGTAAATTTGTGGGTCGCCTTAACAATGAGGTTTTGAAATATTGATGTAGAACATTGTATACTATAAAAAAATATCTAATAACTATATTTATTATTGAAGTGTGCAATAGTGTTGATAAAATATTAGTAACATTTACTGTATTAACTGTAAACATAGTAATTAATAACAATAAATAATTTGATACAGATCAGCTGCAAAACGATGTAGAATAAAGCGAAAACAGAGGTGGGAACTACTTTCTGAAGAAAATCGAAAGCTTAAAATCGAAAATAGTCGATTGCGTGAAGCTCTTTCAAAACTTGTGAGCCATAAATGTAGTAATTTACAACAACCAGAAATCATACAAGGAATATTCAAACACAATGATGATATTTAAAATCATATGTTGTTGTATTAAAATATTGATGCTGAAACAAGTAATATTTATTTTATATAATATTATTATTAGGGATTGAAGTTGTATGAATTACATATTTTTCTATTTACTCTCAGTTTATGACAGACCAAAATAGAAATTAATTCTCTAAAACAGAGATTATTTTTAAAAAATTAAAAATGCATACTTCATTGATTTAAAAAAAAAATTTTATTTAAATTTCTTTTAATTTCATATTACCTATGAATACTATACATTTTCTTTTATTACTTTATGCATTTTATAAAATTATTTAATAAAAATATTTTTATATTTTTGATTCTTTTATATATACATATATAGCTTATTTTACTTCTATAGTTTCTGAGTTCTTAATTTTTTTTTTAAAACAAGTTAATGGTTTACTTGTATAAGATTTAATATATAACATATTATCATATTTTCTAAATATATATAAACTTGTAATAAATTGCGAGACTGCATACAATCAAATATTTTTGGAAATCAGTTAACATAAAAGTATATTGTTTTGTTGTTATGTACCAAAAATATTATGTTTTTAAATTTTATTATTTAAGTTATTTAAATTTGTTTGTGTATTATTACATACATACTTTATTTTTTGTCCATAAATCTAATAAATAACTAAGGTAATTTGTTTCATTTTATTATTATTATTTTAAATATTTTTTATCAAAACTGTAATTTGTTTTAAGGTTGATCACTTTTTTCATACTGTTATGCTCAATTTTTAATTTTTTTAACTGTATGACTACATTACAATACTGTTAGATGTTGATTTGTTATAACTCTTTATAATTTTTCCTTAACAGTTATATTGTAAATTGGATTATTTTAATCATGATTATTGACACTAATAATTTTTGTATTTGGTTATTTTTATTTATAAATGACATTTATACTTATCAACATCAGCTAAATAATAAACTAAATACTAATAATAAATAATTATTTTCAAATAAAATAAAATATATAATAATTTCAGAATTTCATAACATAAAAAAAATATATTTATTAAAGTTATTTATTTTCTGATTAATAAATAGATATTACACATTTATATTTTATTTTGTGTAATTGCTTTATTTATTGGACATTAATTTGAATAATGACTTGGGAGAAATTTTAAATCGATGTAATTAATATTATGTTAAATTAAATGCATTTGATAATGCTTAAATTATTGCAATTAAATTATACAACATGTCAACTATAAATTATAAATAATTAATTTTAATTTTATAATCTGTATTTGTAATTAAAATTTAATTTATGTTTATTATTATAACTATTTATCCTATTGTATGTATCCAATTGTAATCCTCCTATGTATGATATATGGATTAATTTACATTAATCAAGATTTTTATTTTATAATTTATTTAAATTTATTTTTTATGTATCTATGTTAATTAATTAATATTTTATTAACCAATAATTGTTTTTCAGTTTTCGTTAAGTTTGTATGTTAGTTATATATATAAGCACTATTTATGTTATTTTTTTCAAAATATATAATTAAAACTAAAATGTGTTCAGCACTCAATAATTGCTAAGATTTGTTTATATTTACTGTAATACTTACTATAATTGATAATGGTTTTCCAATTCATGAACTGGATAATTTTCAGTTATAATTATAACATGAATTTTAACTAATTTATTCATTGATTCTAGATAATGTATGTAGTAATAATTAAAAAAACAATTGAGTATGTTAAGTAAATAAGTGTTAACATTACTACAAATCGATGCTTGTTAACAAATATTGAATACCATAATATGATATTTATTGAGTGTTTATACATAATTGAATATATTTATAAATAAAGAATTTATTTTTACATAGCATTTTATATATTAAGCATACCTATTTATACTACAGTGTACACTGACCAAGGTCTGAGGCTTACTGCTCTATTTGATAATAAATTAATGTAATTTAGTAGAGTTTGAAGTCTTAATATATTGTTTTTTGTTTTATTACTGAAGAGGAGGTTAGTCTACTTATAAAGTACTACCAAAAAGTAACTTTCATTTCGAGGACAATAAATTTTCTAGAGAACATCAGCATTAACAAATTATACTTATGAAAAGAACAAGTGAGAAGAGATAGTATGAGAAGTCTCTTTTTAAATATTCATCGCTTTGTTTTTAACCTTTAGTTACTGTTTTTATAATGTATAAATAAATGCTTCAGTTCTGATTTTTTTTTTTTATTCAATGTTTTTTCTGTGTGAACTATAAAAACAAATCTAGTTTTAATGAATTTTAAACTTAAAGAGAATATATAATTTTGAATTTATATAGGTCAGAGGTTCCAATCTTTTTAATTTGCAGCACTTTAAAGTATTTCTTTTTTTAAATTCAAAGGTACTTTATAGTAATATATCATATATTTATACTTATATTTAATAACTTCCTGTATAACCAATAATGTTGTACATAAATACCATCATATTTTATAAATACATACACTATATTTTTATCATTTTTTTTTTTTTAAATTGTGAAAAATATGTATGATTTATATTATTTGTAATAATTTGATAGAACCCTGGGGTAGCGCAATACTCTAGTTGAAAACCTCTGATAAAAGTTATTAAACTATAAAATATATTGTTAAAGTTATAAAATGAGTATAGTTATACAAGTTAAATTATATTAAAAATTGTAAATTTAAGTCAAGTAAAAAAAATTAATATAATCAATTCTTTAATTAAAGTCATTATGATGCCTAATATTTAAATAGTTTCTATACAGAATACTATGGATCATTTATACAAATATGCATTATGTATAGAATAATAATTTTATTAATATATCATGGATAGTAAATATTTCTTCATTTAGGTAAGAGAGAAAAACATTTATCATATTTTACAATAAATCACCATATGGAGTAAACATTCTTATCAAATTTAATTAATCTACGTAATATTAATACAATTTTGATGTTATTTGAGGGTTTAAATTAATGTTTTGTGTACTTTCAAGTATGACCGTAAATTATAATTTATACTTTAGGATTGATCAATATTCAAAAAGTAATTATATCAATACTTACTATATAAATAAATATCAAACAAATTGTTTTCTCTTTTAATGAATTGATTATTTAGTAGTAGTGTAAATACAATGAAGATGTAAAACCTAATACTATTAAGCTATACATTTAAATTACATACTTTACATTTATTATTTTATTATTTATGAAAATACGTGTGCAATGTACATATTATACAATTTCTATGCAAAAAAATTAAATGTGCAAATAATGCAAAGGCGTGTAAACCTTTAACATTTATAGGATAACATTCGATCACTTACATTTCTTAACAAATAAAGTATTAAGCAGGTATGATAATTTTGCCAACAAAAAAACAAGGAATCACTATTGTTTTATAAATAAAATAAGGAACACGTATGTCATAGCTTCTAGCCTGCTGATTCCCATCAACTCGCATGATGAAATGATATCCTTGAATCCTTCAAGATTTTAAATAATTAAACTGGCCAGGATACAGAAACTTTTATTTTAACAGGACAAAACTTAATGAGATGTTTAATTTGATCATAACTCATAAGTATTTTAAGAATATAATAGTGATAAAAAAATACTTTATTGTATAAAACATATTTTCAAAATTTGATATAGATATAAAATATATATAAATAACATATTACATAAAATATTTATAAATGTACATATTTTAATGTACTATCTATACTAAATTTAACTTTGTTAAATTTTTTTTTACATTTTTCGGTTTTTTTTTTTTATAACATAATGATGTTTAAACTAGCTAGAATTAATAAACTATATTCTCTGCATACACAAACAAATATATATTGTAGTCTTAATCTATAATATCAGTTACCAAATATGATAACGGAGATCAATTATGTTGTGAACAATACAATTGCTTAGCCAAAGGTCAGTTTTCCTACAAATTTTACACCCTATGTTGTTTTTTGTTAATTAGCTCTTAATTATAAGGATATGTCTTAAACTAGATGTAGTGGTTAGAAATGTAGTTATGTTGGATAAGAATATTTTTTAGACTTAAGTATTATTTTATTAGCTAAATTGGAATGATACTAAAGTTAAATGGTTGATCTCAAATGTACCTAGTATTTTTATCATTGTAGAGTATAATTTAAGAAGAATTCCATAAATTTACATTAGTATCATGGAATTTTTTTTTTCATCGTACGCATGAGTCAATTTTAACCATAAATACGTATAAAAGTAATTAAGTTTTATATAGATTTATACATCCAAGACGTATTCTTTTACTCAAACTTGAACAAAGTATAATAATGAAAATCTCAATAACAACTTTTTTGCAAATTAAAAATATATTTAATTACAAAATAGTTAGTTATTAATAGTTATAGTAAATACAAATACATAATTTCAAAAATATAATAACAATGTGGTTAAATAGATAATATAATATTTATAGACGTGTTTTGTCTTGAAAGTCCTTTATCTCTTTTTATGTAACATACCACTGCTATTATGACCCACTATAGCATCACAATAGACCGACCCAATTCTAGTCTAACCATCCAATTATGCATTCACGGAGTACCTTTTCATTGCGGTGCCACTCGTGATGATTGACCCTTGGCACAGTATATTCAATCAACCGACCCGCCATGTCTAGCTGATGTATTCCGATTGGATCATTATCACTGTATATGTCATCTTGTCGCTCTCGCATTGGTATCAGTTTACCAGATTTATCCAGTACAGCAAATTGACTGTAAAATGTAAGACTTTCATTATTAAACATACCTAAAATAATTACATTTCTATTACATAATTATAATGTAAATTATGAGTACCTGGATTGCCATGGCGAAATAACCCCATCGTCAGGCCCACCAATTAATATCAGTCGCTGCAGTCGAGTCAGGCCCAGTTTCTTGGTGTTAGGGTTAGACTTGTTACTATTTTCTGCATAATAGTTATCATGGGCTGCGACTACAGCCATAACTGTATCAACATCTGTTGTAACATTGTTAGCATTACTGTTGTTGCTGTTATGACTTTCAGCAATTTTAACAGTGGCGGCGGAGACTGCTGCTATAGCAATACTAACACGTTCTTCAATTTTTTTTGGTGAGTCATCATCACTCTCTGCTTCATCTATAATTTTACCAATTACTGCAGCAGATGTATTCACCGTCTTTGTTCTCAAATCATCATCGTTTTGTTGTTGTAAATTCAAATCACTTGAATTCTGTTGTTTAACATTATCAATAACTGCAAGATACGCACTGTATTTAAGGTAAAGGTCCCTATGCCTGGGATCATACCAATAATTAGCTACAGACAGAGCTCGTTGACCCAATCGAGTGTAGAACAATTCATATGCAGTGCGTGTTGTCAGTGCAGGGAACATTTTTGTGAAACACTCGGCTACAAAATTATAATAAAAAAATTATTATTAATATTTTTTTTTCAGTACCTATATTATGTTAAATAAACAAGTAAAGCAACAGCACCAGGAAATGAACATAACTATAGAGTTGATACATACATTGAAAATTAAAATTGAACATTGCAAAATATTTATGCTGTGATTTTCTTAATTAAAAATACACATACCCCCATATTGTCCTCCTTGAGGTGAGCTAAGCGATATAAATGTCCTGACATTATGCTCAGCACCATATTCTTCTATCATGCCCCTTGCTATGAGTCCACCTTGAGAGTATCCTAAAAAATTTAAACATAAATGTATACATCTTTCAGCTAAATTTGTAGTATGTAAATCAAAAATAAATATAATAATGTATACCTACTTGCATAAATATATATACATATACAAAACATATTTACCTATAACATGAACACCTTCTGGATGCAACGAACATATTTTTAATAAGTCATCAGCTAACTTCTTTGTCTGTCGCCACAATGGTTCCAAGCTAGCCAAACCACAGAACCTATCAATGACATATGTTTTGGTACCTGGATGTAACTGTTAAGCACACAAAAAAAAATTATATTAACATTTTTATGATTGGCAGATTTTTAACATGATTATTACAAAAATTTAACAGTATGTAACTGCCATTAAATTAATTATGTGAAGTATTTGAATAAAAGTAATTTATTACTTTTCTTAGTGAGGGAATAATTTTAAATTATATAAAAAAAATATAATCATGATACAACTAAAATTATTGCACACAGTTATTCTATAAAAATTATAAGAAATAAGTATCTTTGAAAGTTAATAGTTGAAATATTATATTGCAAGTATAAAACATAATTATAAAATTATATTTAAGTTAAATACCTAATTCTAAATACTGATTACAAAGTTTTTTTTTTTCGTAGGTATACTTTATAGAGTATTTGAAAAATAAACACTTCAAAAAATTTTTAATGTACCTATTCCAATAATTCTTAAATACATTAATGAAACAAGTAAATACAGATAAATTCATACTGTTTGTGTAATAATTTTAAAATTAGGTAATTTACTAATAATATTTATAATTATGAGTTATGAACTACTAAGGACTGAATATTGATGGTCTACATTCATAGACAGTAACCATTATAAATTAATTATAATATAGCTAAATGAGTTAGCAGCATTATCAAATTAGGAAATATATCAAACTTCTCACTTCAGCTATACGAGCAGCCAGATGCTGCATTGTGCTGACATCACCAGTCATTAAACCATGCACAATGACTACTGGCCTGTACGGCTGCTTTGACGCTGATGTATTGTTGCATTCATTTGATTCGCTCATTGTCGTGGAATTTGCTAGTTGTGTTTTAACGTCTCCACTAAGCTACAATTATTTCTATTAATAACAAATAATTAAAATAATTTTTGGTACGACTTACAATCACTAATTTTACTCAGGCAACAAAAATAAGAAGTAAAATGATCCTCACCACTGACTACTGACAAAGTACGTCTACTAAGAACTAGAAAGTGACGTAAAGTACAAAAACACAAGTTACTAGGTAGAAACTACTAACTAGAAAGACTAGACGATATTTTTTCGGAGTGATTAGGTAACTTTACTAGTAGTATAATAATATTAATAATTAATAGTATTACTATTTACTACAAAAGTTTACTGTTAGTTATCTAGTTATCGTCATGAAATAGCTTGACTAACTTTGATAACACTTTGACGGTGATTAAACAAAATTGTGTAATTTAAGTTGCCTATTTTTACTAAAAAAAGGATGTTTGTACAATTTATAATATTTCAACATTGTACTTATCCTACTTATCTGGTTATCTGTATAGTTATTACTTGATAGTATTTATTATTATTTATTTAATACATTTATTTAAATATGCACCGTTTAATCGCTGTATTTTCGTAATTCAAGCAAAAAAACTTGCTGTCTTCTAGACTTTGTGTACTACAAAATAATTAAAAATCACATTTTAAATTTTAAAAATGTTCAAGCCGCCGCCTTTTCATGGTCCGCGTAATCGCGCAGTGTATTGAACTTTTCGACGACCCCCTTTTTCTACAATCGCGGCTTTTGTCGACACCGCGCTCGCTCGTCAATAATTATTTAGTGTCTTCAGTCCCTTTCCGTTAACGTTTGAGAGTCGGGTGTCGTATCTCTCCGTTTTGGCCGCCTTTTGGTATTTGTACGACTTGCTGAAAATCACTCTGGCCGTTAGACATGTGTCACTAATAATACCTCCATTATATTAATATCGTGAAGTGCCGACGTCGTTTCACGATCATCGGGCCTCGTATTCGGATATTTTCGTACCTTAGGCTTTAGTGTGACCTATTGTAACTGTTGTGATCCGTGTGACGCATATTATTTTTTGCTATTACCGATCTTTAATATATTTTTTAAGTCGTATGTAGTGCGACATCGTGTCGCGGTCGTCGGGAATATTATTATATTGCATAATATAATTGAGGGGCCTCAACGCAAAATTTACTTTTCCCATTTTCCTAATTTTTCAGTATTACAGGTTTTCTATTTAAGGTATTTGAATTGGCGTAGAACACACCCTTGGGTATTAAAAATATCTAAACAAAATTCTTATATTGTTTATAAATTCATTAATTTCCAATTTAATTTATTTATTGTTTTTTTTAAAAAGCATAAAAAATTGTTTTCTGTAAAGTACATTTTGTATTACATTTGGAAAAGCACGTTTTATAAAAAATATGAACAATTTTAAACAAAACGTGCCATTTCTGAAAAACGTACATTTTGTAAAAAAAAAAACTATTAATCAGTCCGTTTTGATTTATCCTTAAAATATTATAGAAAGACGATGAGATAACGTAAGAAATCAAGTTATTGAGTACCTATTTACTATTTGTTGTTCAGACCACAAACTAAAATATTTTAATTCGTGGTTCACGCGCAATAATTTTTTTTTCAATAAAATATTATTTATTTTCATCATACCAGCACCAGGCCATTTCTTATATAAGCATACCAAGCCATCGGGCGTTATACAACCACTACATATAATATATGAATTATGAACAATATTAAATAACCTGCGGATAATCATTATTTTCTGTTTTACCTATTTAAATTTGTTACATTACAATATGTCAAATGTTTAAGTTTAAATGCTTAAAATAATAATAGATTAAAATTATTATTATTATACTCGAGAATCACAATACAAATAAGTATATACACTATATATAATATAAATTATATACGTAAAATGTGGCACTATCGATCCTTATAAATATATTTATATTCAGTGATTACACAAATTATTACCCTTCATTGCCCATCTATTTGGACTGCTTATTATCGGTAACGGCTGTTAGCAGAAAATTAGCCGCAGACGAGTTGCCAATACCGACATTATCGTGCATCATAAAGGTTATTGGTAGGTGTAATTTTATTATTATTTTTGTATATTATTATTACGTGTTTGTACTTTTAAAAAAGGTCTTAGCAGTCACAGCAAATTTATATATATAATTTAGACAATATCAGTTAATATTTAAATATCATTACTTTATTTTACATTACATATAAACCTTTATTCTTGACTCTGTTCATATTATATATATAAACCTTGTATTCTAAACCATTGTACGGTGCTATTTTTCGAATGTCCAGTCAACTGCCAGCTAAGAGCTCAATAGTATAAACATAATATGTAAATAATTATAAATATTTAAAACTGTAAAACCATTGCTATCTTTTTAAACAATAACTTTATAAATATCATATTATTTTAAATAAAATAAAATTTTTTTTAAGTTTGAAAAAATGTATAAAAACCCTTAGAAAATGTACAACTAAGTTCTACAAATATTATATGAAAATATTTGTTGAATTAAAAATCTTTAAAATATATAGGCATAAAACACAAATTATATTAACTTAACTTAATATTAAAATAAAGAATAATAATTTAAGTAATTAAAATTGTTGTAATTCAACAATAAATTATGGATATAATAAAATCATATTTTACAGTATCACAATAGCTTTTACAGAGTGTTTAAATAATAACAAACTATTACCCATTTAAATCTTGACCCGCATAACCCACAATATCACTAATCATAAATATGACATACTTAAATGAACAACTAATTCTTTTTTTTCATGATAATCATATGTACTTTAAAAGATTTACTCAAATTGTTATTGATAAGAGAAGTACGTCTTTTGAGTAACATGGTCTTGGATGTTAAAAAATGGTAAATAAAACCAAAATAAACATTGAGAAGAGGATATAAGTAGGCAATGATGATAAATCTTTTGTTGTTGGTTTCAAGATGATCCATTAAATATTGAATGTGTTATTCACAAAAGAGTGTTTTACATTTATAAATGACTATTATAATTAACAAGAAAAATGTTTAATTGATGTTAAAAAATTGAAAAGAAAGACTATATGAACATTCAGTAGTCAATCCTAAAGTAAGAGGTGATGACAAATCTCTTGATGTTGGCACCATGATAATACAATGAATATTGAATGTTCTATAAGTAATCTAATGCAAATTTTAAAACAAAAATACTAATTGTATATTTTTTAAATTACCTAATGCTTATACTACTAGGTTTTATTAAAATAAATTTGTTGTTCATTTCAAACACATTGTCCAATCAAACATCAATGTAGTCCATATTATTTCAATCAGTAACTGATAAACTGACATTCATATGTGTAATGGTAAGCTTCCTTAAATTAATAAAAAAATGTTATAATATACAAAAGCATTTTTAATCAAAGAAAACTTACAATTAAATTGACAACAATATCTAAGACGTGAACAGGCACAAACATGAAGTTAGTTGCATATAACATCAATACAAAACATACAAAATGTCAATACAATTTTTACACTATCCTAATTGTTTATACACTTTATAACAATTTGAAAGAAATAGATTTCATCAATTCCTTATTTCAGTCATAATTCATCTAGTTTTAATATTCACTTTAACCCAACTATATCGCATTAGACGCATGTCATGATAAAATAATGTATATTATACTGTTATGGGCTACGAGATATGCTAATAATATAAGTAAATATAATATAATATGTAATATTGCTAGAAGTATTAGCAATAGTAATATAGATATATATATATATGTGGCCTAATAATTATAATATATACGAGATAGTAGATTCATATTTCTATGAATCTTGTTTTTAAAAAACATCATAATAAATATATCAAAATAGCAGTCGTGTGACGAGGTCTTTTAAATATATTATTGCATTTCCACGAATTGCCAATTAAGAACAGAAGACATCCTAGAGATTGTTGTTTTCAAGTGTGTAAACAATTCCAAGAATTAATATGAATTAGAAAGTTGTAGACTACAACAACAAGAGACTTCTTTGTATATAAGGGAGTCCAGAGACCAACAGGGACAGATGTACCAGAGCCACGAAGACCTGAGCAACTTCACAACACTCGGCCACTTTTTATATCAGTTACATGAACTTTATTTATACGTAATAAAACATTTTTGTTCTTAAGAGTTGTAAATTTCATTTAAATAACACCCTGGATCTGGATCTGATATTGGCATGCAACAATACATATAAAATGCATAAGATTAACACGCATTTGATCCTTCTGCTAAAACAAAAAAAAAAACTATGATTTCTTAGAAAGACTTGATGAAACAACAAAATGGCAAATATTTAAACTAAAATAGAGTTATAGATGATAACGGAAAGCGGCCAGCAATGACTAAATTTATTGTACAGTTGAGTAAGAGGATTCAAACATTTTACGAAATTAAAAAAAAAATGTTCATTGTATGAAAGAATAATACAAGAAGTACAGCAAATTTATTTAAAAACCATTGACCATTACCTGATTCTAACGTCAAAAAAAAAAAAGGGGTTATAAATAAAAGTATTGAAATTGTATAACAACAACTGATTGTTGATATCATTATGTTGTTTTATGTAAAACGTTTAAAATATGGTACAACATTTCACAGTGTAAAAACATAAACTAAATAGACTGATCAATATAATTATGCTAAAGAAAAAGACAAAATGAAAATTTTTCATGATAATCTGACAAATTTGAAAGAATTATTTGGGATTATTATTGAAAAAAGCAGTAAAATAACGTGGTCTCGGATGTTAAAAAACATTAAATGAAACTAAAATAAACATAAAAGAGAGGTTCTAAAGTAGAAGATGATGAAAAATCTTTTGGTGTAGGTTTCAGGATGATCCAATGAGTATTGAGTGTGTTATTATAAAAACACAATTCAACATTTGTATATGACCATTATATTTGTACAATTGAAATGATATTAAATGTTAAGAATTAATAAAACAATAAAAAAAACCAAAATGAACATTAAGTAGACTATTCTAGAGTAAATAAGTGATGACAAATCTTTTGGTGTAGGATACAAGATGATCCATTGAGTATTGAATTTTTTATAAGTAATCTAAAGTAAATTCTAACACATTTATAATAACATTATTGCAATACAGTTGCTTAATATTTTAAACCTAAATTTATATAAAAATTATCAGATGTACTTTAAAAATTGTTGTCTTATGGCAAAATATACATCAATGTAAGCTATAGCATTTCCACAAATATAAGATAATCGGACATTCCTATATACCTATCAGAGAATACTTACAATTAATTTAACAAAAATATCGTGTTTTGTGTTTTGACACCAAGTTAGTGATCAAAGAATAGGCAATGAAAATCTTAATAAAATCTTAATGCTCACCACTGGCACATTCCATAAATCTTACGAATGAGATTTAATCGATCATGAACAGGCACACACGTGAAGTCTGACGCATATAACATGCCGCTGAATAGATTTCAACAACCTTTTATTTCATTATAAAATTAAAATATCATATTTGACACATGCATGAACACATAATAAAGAACTTACCTACTTTAAATTTCGATAATAAATCACCTCCTTTCAATGCTATCTTGAACACAACAAAATAGTGTGTCTCAAAGAATGAAGTATACATTGAACATTGAACGTTCAAAACGCATAAGAATAACATGCTCTTGATTCCACTGCTAAAACCCAAAAAAAAATTAAAATAATTTGTTACTAACACATGAAGAAACAACAAAATGGCAACCGTTTAAACTAAAATAGAATTATACATGATAACGGTAGGCGGCAAGCAATGACTGAATTTATCATAGTTGAGTAAGAGCATTCAAACATTCATGAAATTAAGAATAATGTATTCACCGTATCAACGAATAAAACTTACTATAGTTAGGTTAATTAATTTAAAAAACATTTACAATTACCTACTTTTAACGTCAAGTACACCGGAATAAGAAGTACAAAAGTATTCAAACTGTATAATAAAAAATGACGTTTGATATAATTTACTAGTCCAATGATTAAAATACGATAAAACGGTCCTGGTATACAACGAAAAACACAATAATCAACGACGTAATGTTAAAAGCAAAATGAAAAAAAATATAACACTTATATTTCTTCTTCCTGTCAATATGATGAATAATGAATGACCGATTTAAATTATTATAGATAAAAGAACTTTGTCTATTTTGATAACATGGATTAAAATATTGAAAACACTACAAAAAAAAAAAAAAAAAAAAACTTAAAATGAGTAAACCTTCTAGAGTAAGAACATTAACGAAAAGTGGGTTTTGTTTCAAAATGATCTAATGAATATTTTATCATGGTATTCACCTTTCAGTTTTGTAGGAGTATATTGTGGATTATTTTTAGCAAAATAAATTATATAATGACTTCAAAAAATTATTTAAAAATACAAACTGAACAGAGAAAACATACTTACAGAGTAAAAAAATACGAACAATCTTTTGGCGTAGGTTTAAAGATGATCCAATGAGCATTGAGAGTGTTATTAAAAAAACAGAATTTAACATTTGTATATGACAATTATCTTTGTTCATTTGAAATGATATATAACTTTAACACAGCTTCAACGAGAACTATGGTATAGAATTAATAAAAGAGTGAACCCACAGATAGCTGCTCACGTCTTATTGGTGATTTGATGGCAGACACGCGACCAAACGCGTTTGTTAATTTAAAAAAATACGGTTTTTAAGAAAGAAAACAAGATTGATATTTATTTTCAGCTAGGAAAAAAAATAAATAAAACAGAAAGATACGGCACTGTCTGGTTGACAGTCTGTGTAAAAAGTGTCATGTAGTTGGGGTCCGTTACTCATCCAGTGCTATTTTTCATTCCCACCCAAAGAGGCCTTTACAGCATTGGTGGGAGAGATGACAATATCAGGACTTTACCCATGGTAGTAGTGATGATAGAGTAGATCGGGCACTGAAGTGCCGGTACTTTATACTGGCGACCATTGCGTACCGTGTTGACTTTAAGAATTAAAAAAACTATAAAAAACCAAGATGAACATTAAGTAGAATATTCTGGGGAAAGAAGTGATGACAAATCATTTAGTGTAGGTTGCAAGATGATCCAATGAGTATTGAGTGTGATATTAAAAAAACAGAATTTAAATTTTGTATATGCCTATAATACTAGTACATTTAGAGTGATAAATGTTTTTATGATTTAAAAAAAATTAAAAAAAAAAAAAATTAACAATACGTAGACTATTCTAAAGTAAATAAA